CCCCGCCCGCCGCAGCGCCCCGCGCCTCGGGCGGCGGCATGAACGCGGCGAGTGCCGGCTCCTGTTCCAACGAGATCTTCGCGTCGCCCGCGACTCCTGGGGGCCCGGCCTGGAACGTGGCCGGGCGGGGGTGGGGGGCGGGGTGATCACGCAGGTGTGTCAGGAGAAAGCGATGGGAGGGATCTGCGCTGACGCAATGGAATTGGCGCGGAAGGGGGGGGAGGAAGGGGTGCCGCGTCGTGAGGCGCTGTGCGGAGCGCGCCGGCCACGCTCAGCTTGGGACTCGCGGCGCCAAACGAGCTGCGGGGCTGCGGGCGCGCCCTCTCCGCCCCTCCCCTCATCCCCGCCCACGCCCCCATGCGCGACGCCGATTACTAACTGTTGGCAACGCACTCGGGCTGCAAGGCAGGTGCCCGCGCCCTCCCGCCCATGGCCGCGCGGCCGCCACAGGCGCGATGCCGCCACACGCGCTTGCCCGCGCCGGCCGCTCACCTCCTGCGCCCCAAAGGGAGTGGGTGTCGCTGAACCGCCCCTCGTCGCCGCCGCCGCCCTCCTCGCTGCTGCCGCCCGCCACCAGCCGCTGCAGCGCCGCCGTCGGCGCACCGGCGTTCGTCTGCGTGGGCGGGCGCGCCGCAAGGGAGGGGGTCGGCGCGCGGCGCGCGGCGCACGGCGCAGGCCGGCCGCAGGCTCGGTCGCGGCGACACCCTTCGGCTTTGCGCGTGCCTGCAGGTCGGGCTTGACATTCTGAGCCGCGCCGTACAGCCGCGCTGCAGCAACCCCAGAAGGCCGCGGCACGCCCCCGCCAGGACGTGCCCCCCCCCCTCTCTCCCCACGCAGCCGCTTGCCAAAATCATGGTGCTCGGCTGCGGCGCCGCCGCGGCAAGCGAGAGGTTCGGTTGAAGCGCGCACGCGGTACGCGAGCGCGCCCGGGCCCCCTCCGCCCTGTCGTACCGCAGAATCGTCTCACCCGGAGGTCGCCAGGCGCGGCCAGGCATCGCCATCGCCGTCGCCGCCACCTGCTGCCAGCTCAGCGTCGGCCTGCTCCTGCTGCATGCGGCGCCTGCCGCAGGATCCTGCTGCTGTCCTCGTGAAGTCAGCGCCGCCTCCCGCGCCTAGCCATCCTCGCCGCCCCCGCACCCACGCTTGCTGCCCGTGCGCGGCTTGGCCTGGCGGAGGGGAGGGCGTGTAAGCGGGGGAGCGGGGGCGCGAGGGGGCGATGGGGGCTGCGCCGGCCGGCTGCTCGGCGGCGGGGCGGGCGGCGCGAGGCGGCGCGGGGAGCGGGGCGAAGCAGCGTCTGGTGGGGAGGGGGGATACTTGCGCACCCTCACTCCTTGGGGGGGTTTTCTTTGTGTTCGCTCCTGTTTATGGTTTGCAGGGTCTGTCACTAGGTCCAAGCCCCGCACCGCTGCCGGTGCAGCGCAAAGTGATTTGATTGTCTACATCTAGGTGAGCACGTAAGCGGTTCAGCCAGCGCTGCTGACGCTGCCGGCTGCCTTGGCCGCTGCCTTGGCCGCTGCCGCTGTCGCTGCCGCTGCCGCTATGCCGACCGAGACAAAGATGCGCTGTTAAGTGCAATCTCCGTGCGCTGGGTTGCTTTGTCGTTGCCCGGGCCAGGGTCTTATACCGTAGAGGCGGCGTGGTGCACCAGAAGTACCGGTAGTTGCGTGTATCGTCCGTTATAATAAGGATTTTATGGACCATGCGTAAAACTAGCGTATTGCTCAGATATTCTCAGTCGTGGTTCACACCCACTGTGCCGGTATTGGTGCAGCAGCGATCTGGCCACCTGCTTTGTGCACTGCGCCATGGCTCGAGGCGGAGGCGGTCGCGCGACTCTGTGAAGGTCCAGAACAATTGGCTCTAATCCAGAGTACCAGCCAGCCATGCAGCAGGTGGTGCCATTGAGCCCACAACCACTAGTAACTGGCGCACCTGCTGCAGGTCGCTGGGGCGCTGCGTTCGAGCCTCGCTGCGGCTTGGGAGTTGGGAATGTGCAGAGTGTGGCGGCTGACGCCGCCAAAGGTGTGGAGTTGCAGCGTCCATCCAGAGCAACAGCAGCCACTCCTTGCGACCCCACCCCCATGGCGGTGGTGTTGATGCCCAACTATTGGCCGCACTCCCATCCTGGCACCAGATCACGACTTGGGACGCGAATGAGAACTGCACGCGCCGCCAACAATGGCATGAAGTAGTGTGCATGTAGTGGGCTCCTGTACCATGACGTGCGGCGATGCTGTGAGCGGGTGGCCGGGGCATGGGGGCCCGGATGGCCAAGCAGTAGCGCCCAGTCGACAGCAGCGCCTGCGGCGCACCTTCCCCCTTGTGGCCGCATGCCGCCGCCCTGGCTAACAGCGAGCGCTTTCGGGCGGCGAGGACGGCTGCCAGCATGGCATTGGCGCGCTCCCGCCCTGGCTGTCCAGCTCAGCGCGATTCTACCATCACATTCCCGAGCAGGTGCGCCATTGCAACTGCTGGACACTGGACCACTCGTCCTGCGCAGGCAGACTTCCTTGTCTGCCAGGGCCGCGCCCTTCAGGCCGCACATCGTCAGCAAAGGGCGCGGCAGTCGACGTCCATCAAGAAGTCCCGCCCGCTGCGCACGTCGCGTCCACCTGCAATGACACAAGAGCGCTGGGGCGCCGCATCCCTCGTGTGCCCCCTCCCTGCCCCTCATGCAACAGTCACACCATATAAGAGACATCTCACTGTTCCGTCCGCACTCTCCGCCACGAGCCAAGGGCCCATGCGCAGGCGCTCGCAGCTGGTCTGGTCCCGGCCCTGGGGTCGTGGAGCAGTGGTCCTGCCCGGCACCTCATCGGCTGCGCATTCCCGGAGGCAGGATAACTGCTACCGTACCCTGCCCCTGTGCCTGCTTTGTGGTGTTTCTAGGATCCCTTGTGCCTCGCTCGTCCTGGACAGGCGGTCCATTTAACCCGACTGACCAAACGCTGCACGTCTGGAAGTGATCCAGTTGTGCTGTGAGATGACGACGAGTCACCGCTCATACGCTGGGCCCACCAGTGAGCGCATTTGAGACCGTTTTATTCCAAGCATGCTTCTTGTCTGGTGGATTCGATGTGTGCGCCACATGCTTTGTGCACACTGCTGCATGCAAGATTTGCCTTGTGGGTGTCAACGGTGGTGAGCTCCTCCAGGCACCACAGAGTAACGGCGTGCGCCTCACTGCATGCATGCAAATTTGGTGTTATATATTGTCACACTACGGTTGCAGGTTACATCCTGCGCAGCTATTGCATAGTGATGCTTTCCCTGGGAGTCAAGGGGACTGTCAAGCGACGCAGGGGTCGGCGGTCATACGATGCTGGAGGTGGCTGAGAAGCTGGTCCTCACCTGTTTTCCTCGGCCAGGGTCGACTGAGGCGCAAAAGCAACATCACCACAATTTTTTATAGACACACCGCCCAAGTCGCCCACACACCCACGTGGGATCGAGCTGGTGTGGTGCAAAACAAGTTACTGGATATTGGACTTGCAATCGGCCATCGCAACTTTTCTCTACCACCTTGCTTGTCGGGGTAGCGATGGCCGAGCGACTATCCCCGAGCTTGTGATGATCCTTATGGGCACAAAGCGGCAGCCCCAGACAGATGCAATTGTCTTGAGGTAATTTTCCTTTTCAAAAGGCAGGCAGCGCGTGGTTGCCCGCTCGGCAATTCATCATCGGGCGGGCCATACCAGCTCGGGCTCGTCGGACGCTCGCCACCGCGGTTATTGCAAATTTCTGCATCTTTGGCTTCAAGGGACTCACTTGTGACGTCGAAGTTGCAGGACAGCTTTGCACGCGGTGCTAGTCTCATGCTCGTCTTTGGAGGGGCTGCCTGCGAATCAGGACGAGATCTGAAGCAGACCTAGGGACTGTGTCCGCGCGGGTCCCAAGGGCCGGAGGAGGCAAGCGCACAGCCCATGAGATGCGTGCTGGGTCGCCGGCGGAGACCGGCGCCGATATGCTGCTGCGCGCTGCATCGGCCGAAGATGACGCGGCGGCGCTGCCGGAGCACCTCCTGCGTGGTGCTAGTAGGCCCGTGCCAGACGCAGGGCCTTCCAAGAAATACAAGCCACCGGTGAGCGGGGCTGCCGGCACCCCGCCGCGCTGATGTGCGCGTGTGATCTGGTGGGCGCGCATGCGACGGCAGGTGGTGCGCATGGGCGCCCTGGGGGGCGCGCATGCGACATGCCTGCGGCCTGACACAGCTGGTCGCCCCCGCGCACGCGCAGCGCACAGCGCCGCGCCCAAGGTCCTGGGGCCCGCAGCTTCCACCCTGTTTCCAGCCTGCTTCCACCCTGGTGCCCCCGTAGCTGGCTAGTCTGCACCCCGCTTCCCTGCGGCCCCCGCCGCACACCTTCCCCCCACCGCTGCGTCCCACCTTCACGGCTCCCCACCGCCGCCGCCGCCTGCCACCCGCAGAAGAAGCGGGTGAATGGCGTCACGGAGGAGACGTACCGCGACCGCTGGCGCAAAAAGCAACCCCGCAAGAACATGACGAGCTGGCTGTCAGGCGTATGCAGCGGCTGCGAGCGCATCGGCCCCTCGTGGAAGGCACTGGTCCCGTGCGCGGGGCCCTGCCTGCGCTCGTTCCACCTATCGTGAGCGAAGCCGGATGGTCTCGGGCGCGACGGGCGGGGCGGGGCGGGGCGGGCTGGATCGCATTGGGTGCGCGCAGCGCAGTATACGTGCCTCATCGATGACGGACGGCCGTGTGCAGAGCTGAGGCCGCACAGGCCTCCTCACCTTTTCCCTTAGACTCCTCACCTCCCACACCCTTCCTGCCCTGCGCAGCTGCGTCGGCGGCGCGGGGCGCCCTAGCGCCGCGGGCGCGGCCGCAGCCGCGGCCGCGGACGGCGCCGCGGCCACAGACGCCACGGGCGTGGCCGCGGACGGCGCCGCGGGTGCGTCTGCGTCCGTGGAGGGCGCTGCGGGCGCGGCCGAGGGCGCGGGCATTGCCACGGACGCCGCCGCAGAGCCCTGGTTCTGCCCGGAGTGTGAAGCGGGCCGCATGCGCTGCTTCGTGTGCGGCAAGTTTGGGACGTGCCTCGAGGACCCAACGATGCGCAAGTGCTCCCTCGGGGCATGCGGGCGCTTCTTCCACCTAGAGTGCGCCAAACCTCTGCCGCTGTGCAGCGTCGGCACTGGCGGCGGCTTCTTCCGCTGCCCGCAGCACTACTGTGCGACGTGCGGCAAGAGGTGCGCCCGCGTTCGCGCCCGCGTCCACGCCACGGCCGGCCCGCGTCGGTGGGCGGCGGGCTGCCGCCGGGCGCCCCCCCCCCCATGCGCCTGCGCGGCTCCTGGACCAACGTGCGTGGGCGACCAGCTGACGCACCCACCTGACGC